TTCGGCGGCACTGGCACAGGACGGTCACGTCGGCCAACCTAGCCTCTCTCCGCCCAAGCTAGCGAGCCAAATAGCACCTACGACCCAAGATCCTACCCTAGCCGATGTTACAGAGACAGCGGAGCTCACGACAACGGTGGCCATGGCGCGTGGCCACACGCGACGACAGCATGACCACGTCGGCCACCCAAAGCCACCGCAATGAGAGATAGCTAACTCAACAGCACCACTATCGTACCTGACTGCTCCTGTGGTGATGGTTTGGCCGGGGATGGACCGGGTGCGTCCGGCCACGCGCACACGGCAATCTCCGCGACGGCGGGGGTGGTGCAACCGTGTCAGCGGCGCCGGGAAGGCAGTAGCAGTGCAAGGGGGGGTGTGCACGGGATGGAGGGGGGTCAAGGCGAATACACAGTGCCACGGAATTGAACGGAGGTGGATAGTGCGAGGCTAATTGGGCTACACGTGCGCGTACGAGGGTGGCACGGTTCGTGCGGCCGCAGCGCCTTAATTGGCAAGCCGACGGCGACACGGCCATGTGCCAGTGCAGTAGACGCACGCAGCAGCGGCAGCGGCGAGGCGACGCAAGCGGCCTGGGTGCACGCGATGTGACGACGCGATGTAGTGAGAACGTGCGCATGCTGGCGATGACGGCTGCGACCAAGCAATGCCATTGCACCCGAGCGGATGGCGATGACGACTGGCGGAGCAGGGACGGCAACAGAGCGATGCGGGCGGCCCTAGGGCACCGACAGCGGCGCTAGCGTGCATCGTGGCGGTGAGGCGGGCCCACTACCAGCCAGGGCTGCCGACCACCGTAGCTGGCCGAGCACGACTGGGCATGTGCGCGCACGGCCGCCGCACCGACGACGGCACAGGAGCGCGGTGACAGCGTCCACTCGGCCCGAGAGCCAAAAGAGTGTCCTGCACGATTTTTGAAGCACCAATTCCTGCCTAACTAGCCTGCTCAAAGCTTTTCCATCTCAGCGTAGCTAAAGAAGGTTAATCAAGCTGCTAATAGGACCTACCCGCACGAACAAAGATGAAATGGAGAGGGAGGTAGAAGACTGCCAACTGCTATCCGTAGCTAAGGCTAGGCTGCCAAGTTAACTATTTTAAGCTTTCCAATGCAATTAATTAGTGATCAAGCCAAGCTCTAACCAAACTAACTAGGAAGTACAGACTTTGTGAGTAATCCACTGAGCAAAAATATAGCACATGCCTTGAGCTAAGTTTTCCAGATTTAAGCCACTAATATAGCATCGTCCCACCGTTTTCAACTTGAGAATTTTACTAAGTCTTGATCGGATTCGGGTCGAATTCGATTTCCAAGCTATTAGACCGTTATCTAGTGAATTCATTTTTCGACCATGGGTATTTCATCGTCATCTACAAAGTTTGTACTTCAAGCTTTATTAAAGTTCCATATATGCGTTCTATAACATTTTTGCTTAATAAAAATTGGTTTCAAATCCTAAGTAATATAACATGACTATGAAATTAACTTTCGTTTCGTGTTTCTGTTGATCGTTTCGAGTTACGGAATTCGATCCAAACACTATATCACTTGCATTAACATATAAATATGATGCTCATGACATGTTTAAGCAAAAGATTTTCAGTGTAACACCAAGGGTGTTACAGATGTGCCATGTGAATAAGATAGGGTCGTCCTAGTAGTGTGGCCACATAGCAAATTGTGTTGCACCTTCTCCACAATAGGCTCCCATTGTTGGTGGTGGTGGTGGCGGGGTGACGGCGGAGGCCCCTTGTTCTTGTGATTAGGGCAGGTGCAATATTGATCATTGCAGAGTGCCTCCTATGAACCTGCACCATTGTTGTTGTCGTCGTCTTCGTCTTCCTTATACCCGCTGCTAACTTTTCTTTGTAGATTGAAGATTTGGTCCTGCAGGTGGTAGATGTACTGCTGATGCAGATAAATTGGTCGAGGATTGACACACCTAGTGAACCCATAGTTTTCTTCGGATTCAGAAGTCTACAATAAGTATGTCCTGTGAGTTGTAAGGGTATTCGAGAAACATATTTAACAAACAAAATGTAATGGCAATTACCCATGCTTGCGGGCATTTGAAGAAGTGACGACCTCCGTCGATCCCCTCGGTGAACATCTGCACTAAGCAGTCCTCACCATGCATGCATTTTGGCCAATCTTCCTTCCTGTTATCGTATCCTCTGAGAGGGCACTTTTTAGTGAAATCACTCTTGCTCTCGGGGGGGGGGAACTGATACACTGGTTCCTCAAAGAAATCAGGCCCAAGAGACCCCTCCCACACAATGGGAGTTCCCTTCGTCCCCCCTTTGCTCTCCCACTCCTGAAGCCCTTTCCTCTAGATGACCCTCCAGACATTCCTACTCGAACGAAACCGAATACTAGTTTGGTTTTTCTTTTGGTTAGCAATGCATCCTAGAACGCATATATATAGGCTATTACATTTTGTACCTATGTATCTATGTTTCTATCTATCTACATATCTATCTCACCAGATCACTAACTAAATCAACTACCTGAGTCATCACATTAACTAGTAAATAACAAATAATCAAACTACTACATTACAATCAAAGCTAACTAAGTACCTACATTGCATATTCACAATTTTTACCTATTCGACGAGTTCTAGGCGGACAGCACCCCCTCCCCTCGGCCCTTGCCAAAGGCCACCGCCCTCGGCCCTAGGACGGCCGACGGCAGGAATGTGGACGGGGTCGTAGAAGTCGATGGAGTCGCAGTGCACGTCGAGATCGATGGCCCTAGGACGGAGAGGCAACGGACGCCAGGCGTTGGTGAGGGCGACGAGTCGGGCCAGCGGTGGCACGGCTGGGCGCTGCAGGGGCCGAGGCGTGCGGTGGCGCGCGGCGGCCGTGGACGCGGGTGTGGGGCCGGGGGCGCGGGTGCGGGTCCGGCGTGGGCGGGGACGGCCGCCGAGGGCGCAGGCACGGGAGGGGGGGGGACGGACGACGTGGGCGTGGGGGAGCGTGCGGCAGGCGCGGACGGCTGCTGAGGGTACGGGCGCGGGCGGGGAAGGCCGGCGCGGGCGCGGGAGCGACCAGGCGTGGGCGTGGACGCGGGCGGGGACGGCCGGCGCTGGCATGGGCGCGGGCGGGGAGGGCCGGGCCAACGCGCGGCGGCGGCGGGCGCGGCGGTGCGGCAGCGGTGACGGCTCGGGAGCGGTAGAGAGAAAGAGAGAGGAAGAGAGAAAGGAAGGGAGGGCCCATACGTAAGAGAGGGCTTGGCGCCAGGATCTTTGGCGCCGAGCTCGGCGTCAAGATCCACGGCGCCGAGCTGGCTACCATGTCAGCGTCCACAACGCCAACGTGGCCCCTAGCTCGGCGCCAGAATGTATGGCGCCGAGCTAAGGGTCCATATTTTGAAATCATACCTCTAGGGGCATATTTGTGAATTTTTTTCAAAAAAGGGCTAAAAAATAAAAAAAATTGGTGCAATATGCCAGTAATATTTTAAAATACATTTTAGTAGCGTTATATATAGAGTGACAGAAAATTTGTTGAGCAGTGTCTCATTCCAGGTAAAACACAATCGCTACAATTGATCCATGGGAATATATACATCAGAACAAAAGTACAGTAAAGTTGAGTACTATATATATATATAAAGAGGGAAATAAGAAATTAAATTAAAGCCGGCCATCGGTACAGCATGCATTTGCTGCATATATATACGTGCATTATTTCAAGGCGAGAGGCAGTTTGGAGGCACGTATAGCTCACCTCCCACGAGAGCTTTTGTATACACACACATGTATGGTACTCTCTTCGTCCCGCAAAGAAAGTGTAGTTCTTATTTTTCGAGAAATCAAATATTTTCAACATTGACTAAATATATACAAGAGATTATTAATATTAATATGAAGCGAAAAATAACAGTTTCATCTGCTCCAAGTTTATTTTGAGATGAGCAATAAAAATGACTTGCTACAGTGTATGGAGGAGCTACAACCAGAGTTGATTGGGGTTTCACCAAACGGGGCGTTAGTTTTCGTTTGTTCTGGAGACGAGGTGGAGCGGGACGGATCCATTCTAGTTTTCTGGGATGGGATAATCTCATTTCATTGTTTGGTTAAAGAAATATGGTTATTTCTGTTTTGTTTTGGTTTGATGGATGTAGAGGGAAAGGATGAATGACTATTTTGGATCCATTAGCAACCACTAGAATAATGCCTGAATGTTAGCCTAGTTCACCTTCTTTCTCCTCGTTCTTGCAGGGGGCGTAGATTCGCACTCACATACACCAGTAGTAGAGGCTCCCTAGCTCGATGCCGGCCACCCCCACCCACCACCGTACCACCGTCTTCATCGTTCTCAATAGGCAGGGGCAGCATGTGCACCTTGGCATGGTGGTGGCTAGCGAACCCTGGTGCTACTACCACCACGTCACTACCGTGCCAGACTGCCAGTGACAGTGCAAGCGCCATGCCAGCAACGGCACCCTAAGTACAGGTGAGCGTCTCATCAGTGGAGCTGAATAGTAGCTGGAGAGGATTCCGGATAAACGTGTCCATGGAGAGGAGCTCATATACTCTGTTCTACATGCTCAAGGAAGGCAGCTCTCCAAGGTCAATGCATCATGGAGTTACTCCTTGATGAGAAACAGCCATAGCCAGATCACCTGGGATTAAAGACAAACAGAGTACCATCTTTGTTCTTGGCGAGTGAGTACATTACAAATCGAACAGGCAAACACCTAACACCGACGCAAAACCAAACAATACAGTCAGAAAGGAATAGCAGAAAACATCTGGTGAATCAGAAATCAAGACTGCAACGCAGTGCAAGGACCCTACATATCAGAGCGTAAGCTTTGAACTTATTATTACAATAAAAATGTGTGAGGGAAGATAATAGAGAGGGAGATTAATTCTGCAATGGCATGGCAATTATCGCCACTCAGTCTGCACTGGCGCACCACACCCTTTTATATATGATTCAAATTAGTGAAGCTGCTCCAAGGAAGCTGAGCTTCATTCCACCTTCAACACGGGCCGATTCCGATTCCCTTCCAGCCGATCCCTCATTTCCTGACAAAACTCTTCCTTGGAATATTCTGGAAAGGTCGACGAAAAACGTAGCTGTACTTCTTTGATTCTGTGGAGACAGTGTAGCCCAGAAAAGGTAACATCCTTTCCAAGGCCAAGACGCAACACCTCAAGTTTAGGCATTGTTTCCACATCGAAGTGGACTAACTCGATTTCCGAGGCCCAGCCGTAATAAAGGTCGAGAACATCAACGCTCATGAAAAGGCCTCTCTTGAAGTGGACTTGTCTAATAGTTATGTCATGATACTCCATCAAACGCAGAATCGACAGGTTTTGTAGCATCCCAATGTGTTGCATGGTTGCATCATCCTTCGAGAGACCGGTTCCATCTAGCGTGAGCTTCACCAGATTCTGGAGCCTCCCGATCCATTCAGGCAATTTGGTCATCTTGCAACGTAGCTTCAGGCTCCGGAGGTTTTCTGGAGGTGGTTTGATGGCATTCAGACAGTCAGATAAATCTAGCTCTGAGCAAAGGGACAATGATTCAAGGAGGCTGAGCTTAGAAATTGCTACACATAAGTTCCAACTATTTTCCTTGCTGAGGCCAACCAATCCTAGCTTGCGAAGTCCCGTGAGACATTTTATGTCTTCCACAATAGCATTTCCCCATGCAAGATTCACATAACGTAGTGTGTGTAGCGATTTCACGTTCCTCATCCCTCTTGGCACCGTAACACTATCATCATCTGGAAATCCCATGCCCATCATAATAGGAGATAATGCTGCGCAGCAAGCTATAGTGCACCAATCACGCCTACTCCTGCCATGGATTTCACGGAACTGTCCCAAACATGCGTTACACTGTACCTCCAAAAGTGCCATACACTTCTCAGAAAAACTTAGCTCCCCACGAAGATTAAAACCACCGCCTGCATGGAGATGACGTAGCTTCCTAAGCCTGACAATGGTTTTGGGCAATACTTGTATTTTCGTCCCTTTGATGTCCAGGACCTCAAGTTGACTTAGTTTACCCACTGAATCAGGCAAACAAAAAATACCACGGCACCCTCTTAGAGAAAGGTATCTGAGATGTAGAAGCTTCCCAACATTCTCAAGGCAATGGTTACCTAGACCTTCTGTGTCTTCCAAATCCAACACTCGGAGAAACCTCATCTTGTCAGAAATATAAAATGGCTTCCACTTACCGAACACTGTTAAAGACCTTATACGGGACAGCTCCACAATGCTCTCGAACTCACCCTTGTCTCCCTCCCAGTTGCTGCTTATGGCAAGGTGACGTGCTGTGCAGTGAGTGCTCGAGTTGCAACCTTCTTCCAATCTGAGAGCAAAATTTTCTTCCATCGACACTGAAATGCCCATGTCCCGGATGAGATCTTGTAGCTTGCAAGAGTCAGCCTTTTGTCTACTGACAATTGATTCATGAGTCGGTAGTATCATGCTTCTTGCAATCAGTTCCTCAAAGTAGCCATCTGCTATTTCCATCGAAGATTTGCCCCGTGCCTCTGTTGAGTAACCCTCTATAGCCCAGCGGCGCACCAGACGTCTTCGGGTAATATTGCAGTCTTCTGGAAAGATGGACATGTACAAGAAACAAGGTTCAAGGTAATAGGGTAAGCCATCATAAATTTCCATAAGAACTGCTCTTATAAGCCCAATCTTTGGATTCATCTCCAACCTAGCAGTTATGTGTTCATTCAGTTTTCTCCACTCCTCAACATTTTTTGTTTCTTGCTCTGCCAAGAAACTACCTATGGTGACAATTGCAAGAGGAACTCCATCACACTTCTTAAGGATCAGTTTTGCTGGTTCAACCAACTCAGGATATTGCTTGTTCAAATCTACAGTCTGCTTGAATACCTGAAATTGGTGTAATACATAATGTTCAATACATCAAAGTGAAATTATGAAGAAAGACAACTTGTTTGTTAGTATGACTAGGTTTTATTTTTTTTTATAATGGGAGGTGCAAATCATTAGGAACAGAAAAAAAACTCCCTTGGCTGATACTTATCACTTGACATATAAAATCAGACGGTTTCAACCTTTTGGAATGACCTTTTCTATTGACATATAAAATCACAGCTCCTACGAGAATGTACAGGTATGTCTTTCCCCATTTTATTTTTTCTTCATAAAATACTCTAAAAGCATCTTTTTCCGAAGCCAGTTTCAGTAGAGTTGTGCTTATATTTTTTTTGCGAAGGAGTTGTGCTTATATATACGAAGCATTATCTCAAATGAAATAAACTGTATTTGATTTTTTTTTTCAGTACCGTTTTTATGAAGAGATTGTGGGCTTCCGTAGCTCCTATAGTGTTGAGCTTGTACATGTACCGTAGTTCTTTGCAACAGTGCTCAGCGATGTCCTCTTGCCTTGTGGTGATCACTATGGTCCATGTAGCTCGTCCAATTTTAGGGAATGCTTCTACCATTTTATCCCATTCTGTGGTTTGGAATATGTCGTCAACAACAATCAAACACTTTCTATCCACTGAAAGCCTTTCCAATGCTTTAGTCAACTGGTCAACAGACATCGATGCATAATCATTTTCTTTGTCAACATCTAGCTGGATAGCTATGCTACTAAGGAGCCCCTGAAGCTTGAAAGGGCGCAAGACGGTCACAAAGGCACGCTTTGTAAACTTCTCAATAACCGCTTTATTTTGCCAAACATCTGTAACTAGAGTGGTTTTTCCAATACCACCGATTCCCCACACTGCGATCACCCTAAGATGATCACGAGAATAATCTTCTAAAATTAGTCTGGCAATATCTAGTTTTTCTCTCGTTCGCCCAGTGAACTGAGATTCCTCCACAACCATCATATCTATAGCGGCAGCATCGTATTGGTCCTCGTCAATCTCAGATGTAGGCAGCGCTGAGCTGGACACTGACTCTGCCGAATATGTTATGTCTTGAGCACTCTGTAAAAAGGCAAATAGAAATTAAAGAAGTCTTCAGCCACGTATCATGTAAGCGGTTACACGAGAGTACTATATCTAATTCCATGATTATCTTGGACAAACTTGGTAAACAGCATACTCTTTATTTTTCTATAACCAATTAAAAAATTAAAGGTAAATTTATCCAGAGATGCATCACGCCATTAATAGGGAAGATTTTGTGTACATGCATAATGTTGATATCTATTAATAATATAGGAGGCCCTCAGACACGATACACGCTAAAAAAATCCCACAAAAAAAATAGAAACAGCGGGCTATGGTAGCCTCTAACAATAATAGCCATTACATTTATTTGATTTTCTAAAAATTATCCACCTTTACTATTATTAAAAAAATAAGTAAAACCATAAATTTATATATAAATTACCCATTTCTTCTATTATGAAATATATGATAACCCAAAGTAAGTTCCTATATTTGTATGTAATTAAATGACCCACCTTTGTTATTATAATACATAAAAACCCATCTAAACACTTAGGTTTTCATAAAAATTTCCTATCTTTGTCATTATTAAAACTAAACTAAAATATCAACTCAAATCTACTTCTATATTACTAATATATGCTATCATTTCAAAATATAAAGTACCAAAATGTAAGTTGTGTATTTTTCTAAGTTTTCCACTATTATAATATATAAATGACTACAGCAAAGTAGACATATATTCTGCGTCCACCTTGCAGACCAAGTATACATGCATGAGCAAGCAATAAATATGTATTTCTATAGTTTGACAATTAGGGAAAAATGTTCTTTTAATGAATCAGTACTTACCAATGACACTAAAAAAAGTATTTAAAATTATATAAATAAACTATGATAATAAATTACGTAAGACCAAGTGTACATGCATGCATGAGCAATAAATATATATTAGTTAGAAAATTACAGAAAATGTTCTTTTAATGAATCATGTAAAAATGACCCTGCTAATTTATTTTAAATTATATGAGAAAACAAATTATGTAAGGTGTTACTTCATAGTATAAATCAATGCGCTATGAAGGAAAATATATTCTGCGTCGACCTTGCAGACCAAGTATACATGCATGAGCAAGCAATAAATATATATTTCTATACTTTGACAATTAGGGAAAATGTTCTTTTAATGAATCAGTACTTACCAATGACACTAAAAAAATATTTTAAATTATATAAATAAACTATGATAATAAATAGCGGAAGACCAAGTGTACATGCATGCATGAGCAATAAATATATATTAGTTAGAAAATTACATAAAATGTTCCTTTAACGAATCATGTACCAATGACCATGCTAAATTATTTTAAATTATATGAGAAAATAAATTATGTAAGGTGTCACTTCATATAAATCAATGCACTATGAAGGAAAATATGATAACATATCTACATTAATACTTTAATTTTAAGAACTCTATCTTTTATTGAAAAATGCTCTACGGGTGTGGAACTTCTCAAAACTGTGATTCTCTCTTCCAGACTCCAATCGAGTGTTCTATATGTGCATTTATTTAAATCATCTTGACAAGAGGAATGCAATGGTCAAGTTCAATTTATAATTTGACTAAGTGTGCAAAACATTACTGCACATATGCTTTGTAGGGGCAGCTCCTGGTGGTTTGTAGGGGCGTACCAAAGGGTGGCTACAAATGGCTGAGCCGCCTCTACAACTCGCTATTTGTAGGAGTGGCTAGATGTTGAGCCGCCCCTATAAATCTGTTTCAAAAAATTCATAAATCCAAGCAAAAAAAAAGGAAAAATTCACAAATCCGGACAAAAAAATATGAAAAATTTCACAAATCTGCTCCTACAAGTCGTAAGTCGTGGCTACGGGGGTTCAAACCCATAACCTTCCCCTCGCGCGTACCTTCCTCTACCACTGCACCTCACACTCACTTGTGGCTATATTGGATTTTTATTCCCCACATATTATCCTAAACCGAGATTAAATTGATTATTTGAGGCCCTAAACGAATTCAAATAAAAAAGTTGTCGACTACAAAGTTTTATAACTTTTCGAGATCTACAACTTTCATTTGATAGTTTCTCCATCCGAGGTCGTTTGCAAAATTTGAATTTTAAATTTGAGAAATTCAAACGTAGTTTTCCATAAAAAGATGATTTCAAATGAAAAATTTGTCAATTACAAAGTTTCATAACTTTTCGAGATCTACAACTTCCTTTTTTGCTGTTTGTGCATCCGAGGTCGTTTAAAAAATTTAAATTTAAATTTTTTAGAAATTCAAACATAGTTTTCCATGATAAGATGACTTCAAATCAAAAAGTTGTCGACCACAAAGTTTCATAATTTTTCGAGACCTACAACTTTTATTTTGGTTGTTTCTCCATCCATGGTCGTTTGAAAAATCCAAATTTCAAATTTGAGAAATTCAAACATAATTAACGTTGATAAGATGAATTCAAATAAAAAAGTTGTCAACTACAAAGTTCTATAACTTTTCGATATCTACAACTTTTATTTTGGTCATTTGATCATCCGACATAGTGGTAGTAACATTGTTCACAAATTATACATATCTCTCTTATAGTTTATGGAACTATGAGAGAGATATGTAAATTTTGTGAATAATGTTAATACCACTTTGTCGAATGAAGAAATGATCAAAATAAAAGTTGTAGATCTTGATGAGTTCTACGACTTTTATGTTTATGACTTTTTTAACTAAAATCATTTAATGTTTCAAATGACGTTTGAAATTACCATTTTTTAAAATTCAAAATTCAAATAGATAAAACACAGTCACATGAAAAGATAGACAAAATAATAACTATAAGAACACAATAAATTGTTAAAGCATGATTTTAGAAAATTTTAGGAAAAAAATCATCAAATTTGAAGTTAGTATAAGGGAGAAAGACTAGTTATAAGTTTTAGCTAGAGATTAAAAAGATAAATCAGTGTTCTTCGACAGTTTCTAAATTGAATTTAAAACAATATTTTTAAGTAGTATATGATTTCAAATGAAAAAATTGTAAACAATAAAGTTTCATAACTTTTTGAGATCTATAACTTTTATTTTAGTCATTTCTCCATCCGAGATCGTTTGAAAAATTTAAATTTTAGTGCTTAACTTTTACTATTCAGCGTCTATTTGTAGGGGTGGCTCAATATTGAGCCATCCCTACAAATCCGATTTATAGGGATGGCTGGATATAGAGCCGCCCCTACAAATCAGGCCATTTATAGGAACGGCTGATAACATCAGCAGCCCCTTGTAGGGACGACTCGTCTGGGCACCATTTATTAGGACGACTCTTGAGCCGTCCCTAAAAAACAACGAGCATTGCTATAAATCTTTTATTTAGTAGTGAAAACCAGCATGTTGGCCGATATTTTTTTTAGCTGCATGTGCCAAGAGACCATGGAATGTTGATACTGCACCAAAGCTACTGATTTCTTAATTGTGGCAATTACCTTAAAGAATGGCGAAAAAACAACATCAAATGGTGAAAGTGTGCAGAAAACAACACATGCTAGACGGTCTAGCTAGCACAGTAAAAGATTGAACATGCTGGATGATTGGGCAAAATGTCTCTGGGCAAGTTTGGGATTTAGTAATAGATCTGTAAATAAGAGGGGAGGCTGCCCAAACCAGCCCATCTCTTCCCGTGCTTTTGGTTTAGTCTCTATGTAGTTTCCATTTCCTATCTTAGGCTGTACTGAGTGAGATCCCACGGATGAGTGATTGAAACCACTATCTGTGTGCAAGACTAGACCTTGTTGATCTTGGCAATAAAGAAATCTTGTTCTCTAAAAATTCTCTTGTCAAGATCTTGTGTTGGCTCCGATTTGGTTTTTCTTCTTCCGTACTCCCCTCTCTTGAGATTTTGTTGGAAATCTTGATTCTGAGTTTTTGAGGGAGTTCTGGTGGGATGGATACGTGCTAGGACCTCTGAGGAACATCCCTACCAAGGTCCTAGGGGGGTGTTCCTCAGAGGTCCGAGCATGACCTCTGAGGAACATCCCTGTCAAGGAGGCGAACTGATCATAGATTAGTTAGTTAGGTTTCTTGTGATGGAACCTATCCACCCGGGTTTAATTCCTCGACTTGGCACGGGTGCTCATATTTTTCTAGATTTATTCCAGAATTTAACAGCGCTATACTTTCAGTGGTAGGCGATGTCCCTGTCGACAGTGAGACGCCAGTGGTGACTTCATGAATTTTGAGATCTGCTGGCTCAGTCCTTCGGAGGTGCTCATAGGGGTAGGGTTTGCGTACGTGTGTTCATAGAGATGAGTATGCATGCATGTTGTTAGTATCTGTGCTTTGTAATTCTAAAAAAACATCCCTACCTATGAGTTTGGGCAGATTCCTCACGAGCATGAAGATCCACCGCTTGGATGAAAAATTGAGAAAACCCTCTTTACTTTGGTGATTTTTAGATCTAGATTGATTCTGAGTTTTCTGGGTGATGATCTTTGGTGGATAGCTTCTAGACACACTAGAGAATCCCTCTGCAAAGTTTGAATCAACCGGAGTTTGTTTGGATCGAATTTGTATTTTGGAGGGGAGTTTTCGGGCTGCTGGGACGACAGTAGAACCAGACAGTCCGGTTTGAATAGTAACCAAAACCGGCCAGGCTAGTTTAAACAGTAAACTGGCTCGTGAATAATAAACCGGCCTCATAAACAATAAATCGACTAGGCCGGTTTGAACAGTGCCAAAACCTGCCTGGCCGGTTTTTCTGCATGGTGTTCCGCCAGAGCGCATTTTCGCCCGTTTCTTTGCGTCTTTCGCCCGTTTCACTTTCTGTCTTTCCCGGTGTGTTCCTAGTGGCATCTTGAGTGTATCCGGTCACTAGTGGCCTCCGCGCACTCGTGTTGAAAATATGGGGTTTTGAGTGTGTTCGGGTTTGATTTGGAAAGGGGTTGAAATTAGAACAGAATTGGATTAGGCTACATTCACCCCCTGGTCGTCTTTCTCGGTCCTTCAAGATGTATTGGATTTTTTTTCTCGAATACACAAAAGATTTGCGTATCATTATACTAAGTAGAAGAGTTTAAACAAACATACAACGTGTTTCTATCGAGCGCCGAAGGAGATCGACCTAACACAGCCGTAGCTAGATCATTCTAGCAACAGACCTCTTTATTCGATATTATATAAAAGGAAACAACCAATACCAACGTAGTGGTGCGACCTAGGAGGTGGTCTTGCGTCTTCGTGGCTGCCTAGATGAGCCCTTTCCAGTGGCCGAGAAGAGCACGTCTAGCGCTTCGGCGTTGGACGTAGTCAGGTTACCGTCGAAGAGCTTGTCAAAGGTCTCCAACTTCGACGCAGATGACGCTGATGGACCCTTGGTGTAGCCCAAACGCTGCATGATCATCACCTCGCCTCGCTTGGAAGCAGGTACTCGGGAGAGGCTCTGAGCCGCCAACCGCCTGCTCCGCCACGGCAGCACCGGCTTGGTAGGAGGCTGCTTGGGAGGCTCACGAATCAGCGGAGAGGCCCTCTTACATGTCACTATGTTGATGAAGCTGTCGAGGCAGCGTTTGGCGAAGTTGTCGTTGTCCAGAGTCTGGTGGGTATCCACCGACAGTGAACTGAGAGAGCCAGCATCCACCGTGGGGTCGACTGGTCCGAAGCCTGGCGGGTAGCTATGCTCCGTGAGTGTCTTCGGCGAGTCCCCTGTCCACTGAATAGGGTGTGGGGCTGGTGTCCTCATCCTCCAGCTGGGGGGCCACCACCGCCAGGGCCTCATCCTGTAGCTGGGGGGCGCCGAAGGTGACAACAGGCGCTCAAGGGAAGGCCACGCAACGATCCGACTGTCGACAAGTGAGGCTGCGAACTCCTCAAACATCGGGTCCTCTGTGATGTCGCGATCATGCGTGGCGTCCAGGTAGAACGTCAGCGTTAACAGGTTGGGCTCAACGATGCCTGTCTCATTAGTCAGCTCACTGTGCCCTGCCTGAGCTCCAGCAGCGACCGAGGTGAAGGCCGGTGCCATTTGGGTAGCCCCTGCCGATCACTAGTGACTGTCGGTGGCGACACTCGTTGCCGCAGCGGCGACATCCCCCTTTAGTCGTCGCTGACGTCTCCGACGTTGGCGCCCACTGCCGCCGTGCGTAGCCACACTTGGCACGGCTACAGACGCACCCGGCACAGCTCCAGCCGGGCTCGGCGTGTCACCTTGAGTACGCGGCCGAGTGCCCGAGGTACACTCTCGGTCAGGTCGTCGTGGCCGGCTTTTTGTGGCACTAGATGTACCAGAGCTAGAAGGAGGCACCGTTCGCCGCCTCCTCTTACAGTCCCGCGCGAGGTGTCAGAACCCCTTGCATCGGAGGTAGCGTGGAGGCAGCTTACAGGTTGCCACCCTGTGCGCAGTGGAGAGATATTTGAAGCACTTCCCGAGTAGGTCCACCGGATAGCGGATAGGGGGCCGCTGGTTCACCGATGCAGTGTGGGCGGGGCGCGCCCCATCGGCGCCGCATGACGACCCCTGCAACAGGACCTCATGCCAGCCATCGGCGTCCGGAGCAGAGATGCGCTGGCGGGAGCCGCAGCGCGGACAGAGCCGCATGTGAGCCAGTGCCTGTCCATGGCGACTGAGACGCTGGCGGGCAGGGACGCGGCCCTCCACTGGCCGCATAGGCAAGCCGTTCACTAGCTGTGGACGCGGTCGACTGCGATTTCTCTACCAACGGTCGTGTCCCTATCGACCGGGTTCCGCTCCAGCATGGCCCGAACCCGAGTCAGGGCGAGTCTTGGCGTTAGCGAGCATCGTGACCGCCTTCGCCGAGCGACGCACAGCGTCGAGGTCGGACTCCTCGCCGTCGTCATCTGCCCACCGGTGGTGTTTTGGACGGTCTCCCGAGACTGGCCAGAAAGGAGCAGCAACCGCCGATAGGGAGGAGCTTGGGGTGGCCGGCGTTGGTGCGGCGGTCTGCGACTGATGGCGTGGCGACCCCAGAGGAGACTCCACTTCCCCGGTCCCAGACTCAGTCCCGGACCCTGGCGCCAGGTCATCTGGCGTAGGCGGCGCCATGAAAGAGCAGCACCCGGACCCCACGCACAGACCTGCCGCAGCCGCAGCTTGCCCTGGTGCTATTTGGGGCAGCGGGGCACCGGAGGACGCGGTGGTGGCAGCCTTCCCCGTTAGCCGGTAGCCACCGGCAGAGGGGCCTGTGGCACCGCCTCCCGGCACCGTTAGCGGCGTGGAGGGGCCAGATCTGCCCCCCACGTACCCTGGCGCGTCCGCGGCCGGCGCCGGCGGCTGATGAGGCGGAGGGGCGGCGGCGGAAGAGACTGCCGTGGCGGCAGCGCCGACGTAGCCTCCTAACACGGCCCGGGAGGAGGCTTCCTGCGGCGGGGAGGAGGGCCCGGCCGCCGGATCTGGGCACGGCGGGGCCGCGACGGCCGGCTCAGGCACACCCGCGGAGCTTGCACCGGACCCGGTCTTCTCCATCGCGGGCGACGGCGGCGCGGGTGCACAATGGGAGCATGCGGGCGACGACCACCGGCGGTCACGCAACCGCTAGTGCATGGACCGCCCGCCCCGGCACCGGTCAGCTTCGTCGCGGTTGCGCATCGGGAGCGGCCGAGCTGGTGGCGTCAGCGACGGAGGCCGCCCCGCCAGATCCGGTGCGAGGGAGGGGTGAGGAGGGGGCGGCGGCTGCAGAGGGGGCCGGCTCCGCGACGGCCGGCGTCGCCGGCGGCGACGGGGATGGGGCCGCCAGGTTCTGCTCGTCACGACCCGCATGAGGGAGAGGAGGCTTGGGGGCGGAAGATGTAGAGGGGGGCGTGGATGGAGGGGAGGGGGAGGCGGGTGCGGGCGCCGGCGCCGGCGGCGTGGAGGGCCCCGCCAGGGGCGGCTAGGTTTCGGGGCTGAGTTCGACCTTAATCCTCGCAAGAGTATAATATAACGACGGCAATGCCAGTGCATGCATTCCCAAACGCAAATGAAAGAAAGAATTGGTGGGAGTAGTTGTTAGTTGCATTATTAGTTCATGTGTTTCTAGTGGCATGCATGGTACATCGCAGGCACTTCAACTAGCCTACAAAAGTGAATGAGAAATTTCTGAAAATATACTAGGCGTAATTGAACAGTGATGATGATTACCTTGTCGTCATAGAATGCGTAAAGGGAATGATCAGCAGACAGTTGCTTTAGCTCTGAGACCCGGCGTTCTTGTCCTGCACATAAGCTTGCAACTTCAACTTGCGTTGTTGACACAATGATTCTACTTCCCTTCTTGTGGTGTACGTTTCGGAAGCAATTTTTAATCTGGTCCCACTCTTCAATGGTGGAAAGGTCATTAAGCACAATTAGACACCTCTGATCACTCACATGTCTTCGAAATTCCTGAGCTAAATCTTGTTCCGTGATGTGTTTTGCAAACAGACCTTCAACCCCTTGGGCTGCTGCATGAAACTGATTCACTAGACTCTGGATGAAGTCTTTTGGATTGAAAGGATGCATCACCCTCACCCATGCTCGGCGCGGGAATTTGATTTGGACAGATGGGTTGTCATAAGCCGCCCTGATGATTGACGTTTGGCCGATATCACCCATTGTTCCCCATACTGCAGTCACCTTAAGGTCCTCTTCCTCGCTATTGATTAGCTGCAGGAGATCCACTCTTTGATTCATGTACCTTGCTGCACGCCTTGCCTCATCGATGCCAAATATGGCAGCAGCAAGATCCAGTTGCCCGTCAGGGCCAACAGTACTGGAGGGCCTCTCAGCAGAGAAAGCTGCAGGCTGAGAGTTGGGGTGGAGAGCGGCAAAGCGGTAGCGCCTGTTCCTCTGGCTCATGTCCTCCACCCTTGCTCTCAGCCCCTTCATCTCCTGGGCAATCCGTTGCCTCTCAAGCAGCGTTTGAGCGAAGCGCCACCCAGACGGGTTCTTCAGGTGAACAGCGTAGTCGTCGAGGCAGTCCTCAACGTCATACGCAAGATCACGGACATGTTGCTCCACCCTGCTCCTGGGTAGCATCCTGTCCCTTCTCTGTTCAGCTATGTTCCTCAGGAAAGTCTGCATCTCTGGCATCTCGTCCGTAAGGAAAACCATATCACGCTGCACAGCCTGCTTGGTTGCAGCATCTTCGGCTATGGCGGACTTGGCCTGGCCTAGCAGGCAGTTCAGAAGCGACTTGCCCACGCTTGTTGCCGCTACCTCCATTACTCTCCGTTTTCTGGTTCAAAAGAGGAGCTGAACTACAAAACCCAGACACAGGCAATACCATGTCAGCGAGCAAAATTATTGATGGAGGAAAAGGGCAAACGAAACTGGTGCCGATGCAACATCCAGGCAGATGGCCGTACCTGAATCGGCGAACAACCTCAGATCTGGGGCTCCGCAGCGTTGGATCTACAAAATTTGTACCTGAGATGCACACCAGCTAGTGCAAAATTGAAAATACCAACAGTGTTGTGGCTGTGAGTACCATCAATAAAATTCAACCATTCAATCTGCATTCGAAGCAGGACGGACACAAACAAAAGGCTTTCAGTATTCTAATTTTTATACCCCAAATTAGACACTCAAAATGAACAGTGCATGATAAACTGATCTAGATGTAAAAAGGCATACCTATGGAGAAGGCGCGCACGCAAAGCCACCGGCAGGGGATTTGGACAGCTGACGGCTGTTGTCGCTTACACTGGATGGCTTGGTCTATATATATATATATATATATATATATATAGAGGCTTATTTCGTCAAATTTTTTATAATTTGGCTTTTTTTTTAGAAAAATTTACATTTAGCATCTTGGGAGACTTAAACTTATTTTTGACTCTGAGAGTCGGCGTCAAGACTTATGACGCTGAGGTAACACGTCTCGGCGCCATAGATCTTGGCTCCGAGGTACCTAGCCATGCACAACAAAGCATTCTAATTGACGTTCACATGGCCGGTACCTCGACGTCAAAATACATGGCGCCGAGTCTGAGTCATCTATTCTGCGCCGAGCATGCCGTAAAGAAACAGGCTTTGACCGCATAGCTTTTTTAAAAATGGAGGGACAAGGCGCAGAGTGTGCATCCGTGCACAGCTGCACCGCAGTAGAGCTCAGGTTTTCAAACGGGGCCATGTTTAGATTGCAAAAAATTGCAACCCGATGAATAGTAGCGTTTTTGTCTTATTTGGTAAATATTGTCCAATCGTGAACCAACTAAGCTTAAAAGATTTATCTCGTGATTTCCAACTAAACTATGTAATTAGTTATTTTTTTTACCTACATTTAATGCTTTATGCAAACGGCTAAAAATTGATATGATAAAAAGAAAATGAAAAAACTTTGAATTTAGAACAAGGCCCGGACGTGAATGAATGCACGCTGCTTTTGCCCCTGCAGGTCTCCGCCGCCTTGTTGGTGCCCATCCTCTCAAACTGCCCAAACTGGCGAGCTCACTCTTCTGCAAAGTGAAACTGGCACGGTGAGAGAGGCCCGAGGTTTCGGTGGCCCATTTATTGCACCTGGCGCGCCGCGCAGCTGCGTGCTGACACGACGCTTCAATGTTTCTTGCCGCAGTAGGCGTAGCATGCAGTAGCTTTTTCCAAAATTTTGTTTGTGTCCGAGACCTTGTTTAGATTTCAAGTTTTTTCACTCTCTTTATCACATTAAATATTTGGACACATACATAGAGTATTAAATGTAGATAAAAAAATAACTAATTACATAGTTTAATTATAAATTACGAGATGAATCTTTTAAGCCTAGTTAGACCATGATTGAATAATAATTGTCAAATATAAATGAAAGTACTATAATGTCAAATACTGATTTCTAACAGCTATCTAAACAAGTCCGGAGAGGTTGGGATGGATGAACGAGCCTTCCATGCATGTGCAGGGGTAGTTTGCCGGAATTATATTGTATCCCGTCGATTTGTATCGGCTATCGTATATAATTATGTGAGTTTTGAGGGAGTCCTCTACCTGTCTTACATAGTTTGGGGGTAGGGTTACGTGCTGATCAGGTCTGCAACTAATCGGGCAACAAATAAGATTTGCATAGAATATTATATTCGGCATATCCTAACAGATTCCATGCTATCTTCATGATGTCGCCGAGGTGTCTTGTGGCATGCACCGAGCTGTGCCGTGAGCCGTAAGTCATCATCTTGTGGGCTGGACCGTCCTTTGCGGTGTGGCCCATGTAGTTCGCTGTGGGTAGTCCCCGAGCGCCTTGTATCCACTTGGTGACGCCATCTTGATCAAGTCCGAGCAGCTTGCAGTGAAGCTGATCAGCTCCACTGATGATCCGAGCAATGGAAAAGGAAGCCGACCAGCTTAACTGGTGGCTTGGGTAGTGAAAAAGCACGCCGAACAGTTTAACTGGCGTACCGACCTGCAAAGGCGGCTACCAACCAATGTAACTAGCCAATGGATCTCGGACTTAGCCAAGTGAGGCTCACCAATAGGATGTAAGGAGCTCAACAGAAAAATTTGAGAATTCTTAGTCGGTGAAGTGTACACACTTAAGTGCCAATTGTGATGGCTCTGATGACGTGGTAATCAGAGCAGAGCAGAGGCATTAAGCGACTGACTTGACGTAGTCAAAACATCTGGAAGAAGAAATAGTACGTGCACCGCAAGGTGCATTGTACACAATGTAGTTCCCGAGCCTGCTAGAAGATGAAGAATAAATCTTGTAGCAGGGTTAAAGAAAAATATGCAATCCCTAGCGTAGCTGAGAAAGCAACCAGTCCCCAGTGTTGCCGAAGAAACAGCCAGTCCCCAGCGTTGCCCAGAAATCGAGTGATCAAGAAGCCAGTACATTCACTGCAAGGTGAAGTGTACACACTTAGTCCTCGAGCATGCTAGAAGATGAAGAATGAATCTTGTAGCAGGGTCAAGGAAATCAGGAGCTTTATATTCCAGTGTTGATGCGTGAAATATCCAGCGTCATCTGCCTTATATCTACCAAGGCCCCCAATGTGCTACCCAAGATCAGCACCCTGATCCGAACAGCATGGAGCAGCTTGATAGCACACATGGCATGCAACGCCATTGAAACGTAGGAAAATTTGACTGCCAAGGGAGCCCCCAGCTTAGCTGACGACTCTTGCACGAAGAACCAAATGCCGAGGAGTCCCCGGCTTAGCTTGCAAGCCCTCAGCGTAGCTGATGATGAAGCAACGAACAATCCGACTAGCTGGTCGGCGAAGAAGCGAGCGCCGAGTAGTCCAACCAACTGGCCGGCAGTGAAGTGAATGTCGAACAGAAGTGAGCGCCGAACAGTCCGACCAACTGGATGGCGACAAAGTCCATGAACCTAACGATCCGACCAGTTAATCGCCGGAGATGTTCGAATGCTTGGTGCAGTGGTGCGACCACCCGGACGATGATCCTGCAATACAAATATATAGAACGGGTAGTACATGATGTAAGAATAAAATATATGAACTCGGCGATGAAGAAAACAGAGCGAAGTTGATCTGGAGCAATGTATCGGTGAATTTTATATTCTACCAAGTAGTTTATGTTTATTTGGAGTTTGTTTATATTTTTAATATAAGTAATTTCCTTCTAGTTGATTATGTATTGTATCACCAGCCCCATCGAGCCCAGGCCCCATAGCGTGGAGTGGATGGCACCCATGTAAGCATAGGAGAAAGAGCGTCGCCAAGGAGCCACTGCTGACTGTCCATAACGTAGAGCGTGGCTCATGCACGTGTAGGAGCAAAGTCGAGGACGGGGCCGTCTCTAGGTAGCACAAATAAGAACGTGGCTAGTTAGCGAATTGACGAAGAATATGTTTAAGATATTTCGTATGGAGAATTAGCGGAGAATGAATGGAGCGTTATGGAGACAATTAATTATGGAGAATAGCCGGAGAAATATTAATTGGAGAAACATGACGAAGAGAAAGCTATATTAAATGCACATATAAGAAGGTACTTATCTTCATTGGAACGTCTGCTCGGCGGTGATGAAATTGCCCGGTCCTCGAGCTTTCCGGCCAGCCGTCATGGCGGCGGTCGCGGTCGTCGAAGCGCCGCTCTTCGCGACGATGATTATTATGATGCGGCAGGCGGTCGGAGCGAGTAGTCTGGGCAATGTTGTCCTTATATTACTGGTCGACCTTAGGTAGATCAGATTTGAGGAGATCGTTGACGTAGCCGCATTCGATCTGATCGGAGAAGCGATGCTGCATGGCACTTTGATAGATGACCGAGCGAAGTAGTTGGCGTGTCGTAGAGGCGTAGTACGTCGGACTACATTGGCCGTGCAAAATCCAGAGCCCACAAACATGCGGAGTTGTGACGTAGCCTGATAGAGTTCACTGCATGGGGAGATATACACGCAGATATTTACATGCTTGATTGGTAGATGCATCCAGGCATGCACACGTGCAAGCGCCTTAGCAATCTGTAGTTTGCTTGCATGTAGATGTACACATACGCCTTCCTTATTTGCAGGGACGAAGCTAGGAAAAAATTTAGGAGGGGCTAAACAACGGCAATTAGCAAGAAAAGAGGTTCAGCAAATTTCAGCCCCTCCTACCTGTATATCTACAGCTGAAATTTCAGACAACGACTCTATGGGGCTTCGCTTGCTCACGAGCGGTAGGGGGGGCTGGAGCCCCCCTAGCCCCACCGCTGGCTCCGTGCCTGCTTATTTGTGTTATGATTTACTTTATTAGTGATCAACCGCTCTCTTAGAAGCACCCCATCAAAAGTTGTTCCTTCACATGTGTGTGTGTGTATATATATATATAACTACTGTTCTGCAGCTGGCCATAGAATAACTTATTCTGTGGCCAATTTGAGTTACGATAATTACCATGCTAATTTACGAGATTACAGTAACTCCTTACTAAGTGATTTACTATAATATTATCGTAAATATCACCGTGAGTTGTAGTAACACGAGTATCGTAAATGCATATTCGTGTTATTATAAATTGGTACAAATATTATCGTAAATCAAGTTGGCTATAGAATAAGTTATTCTATGGCCAGCTGCAGAATAGCCTTACCATATATATATATATATATATATATATATATATATATATATATATATATATGGAGAGTATATTCAGTAGCCAGCTACAAAATAAGTTATTCTGTAGCCACCTCTATTTACGATAATTTTATATACTAATTTACGATAATGTCAATACATATTTACCATAGTTGGGTTACTATAACACATGGGATATTTACCAT